AATGTTATTGCACTTGAATAAAATTTGCCTCGTTGATTTAACAAATCCAATGAGGTTACCAAAAATGTTTTGCAGGGGGCGCCTGGGTGGCTCAGTTGGTTGGGCGACTGCCTTCGGCTCAGGTCATGATCCCGGAGTCCTGGGATCGAGTCCCACATCGGGCTCCCGGCTCAGCGGGGAGCCTGCTTCTCCCTCTGACCCTATCCCCTCTCATGCTGTTTCTCTCTCCCTCTCTCTCAAATAAATAAAAAATTTAAAAAAAAAATGTTTTGCAGGGTGTTGATGTCTCAGAAATGGGAAGGTTCAACAGGCTGAAGAGACCTAGGAGCTGTCTAGCTACTGAAAAATATGCTAAATGAGACCTAAGAGCAGCCGTGGATTCTTTAAATTAGTTTTCAAATGTGTCTGTTTTGTATAGGAAGTGATAGGAAACTCAGAGAAGCATCAAGAGGGTTAGATAAACAGGTTTGAGGCCTAGTAAGCCTCCAGGACAATGTCACACTACAGAATTGGCCTCCAAACTGTACAGGAAGTTGGTGCCACCCCAAAATCCCTATCAATGGCATTGTTCAGAGACAACAATGGGACAAGGACACTACCACACTGCTGTCAGGAATAAATGAGGGGAAACTGCCATCTTATGGCAGAATTTACTAACTAAAGTTGACAAAATAGTTTTGTTTTTTATTAGGAATTTATATTGTTTAAACTTACAGTAGAAATTCACACAGGGGATAAGAAATTAATGAATACTGACCTAGTAAAAGTAAAGGTAAATATATTTTAAACTTAGGAGGATTTACCACTGGTGATTTAGCTTTTCTTCTTTTTTGACATAATGGGAAATTTTTCCAATACAGTGAAGAGAATGGTGTGGTGAATGCCATGTACATATCATTTAGACTTAATTATTAATAATTAGCTATATTTGCTTCACATTTTTATATTGTAAAATATTATAAATTACAGACATAACAACACTGCACAGCTAACTCTTTCAGTATGCACTTCTAAAAATACCAGCACAATTTTCCACAGAACCACAATACCGTTATTGAACCTAATAAAAATCAACTATTCTCGGGTGCCTGGGTGGCTCAGATGGTTAAGCATCTGCCTTCGGCTCAGGTCATGATCCCAGGGTCCTGGGATCGAGTCCCGCATCGGGCTCCCTGCTCCTTG